ATAGAATAGAATATGGAATGGAGAATAGAATAAGAATGGAATGGAATAGAATAGAATAGAATAGAATAGAATAGAATAGAATAGAATAGAACAGAACAGAACAGAATAGAATAGAATAATATAGAATAGAATCAGGAAATAATAGAATAGAATAAAATATAGAATAGAATATAGAATAGAATAGAATAGAATAGAAATGAGAAGGAAAGAAGGGAAATGAGCTAAAGGAAGGGAGGAAGATGAGAAGGGAGGAAGAAATGAGAAGGAAGGGAGGGAGGAAGATGTAGTGGTGCAGTTGTTACAATGCAGTATTTCAGGCTGACTCTGCCACCTGCCAACAGTTCGATCCTGACCAGCGTCAGGTTGACTCAGGCTTCTGTCCTTCCGAGGTCGGTAAAAAAAACAAAAAACACCCCAGATTGTTGCTGACCCTGTAAACGGCTGTATGAAGCGTTGTGCCGCGGTTTATGGGCCTCGGCTGGAGGTGGGCCTGGCGCTTCCCGTGCCACTCCACGCTCCACGTCTCCTCCTTCCTTGTGTCTTCCCCCCCTCCCCAGAGCCTGGCCACGCGGTTGAAGGAGAACATGGAGAAGCTGACGGAAGAGCGGGACCAGCGCACGGCGGCCGAGAACCGGGAGAAGGAGCAGAACAAGCGGCTCCAGCGGCAGCTCCGGGACACCAAAGAGGAGATGGCAGAGCTGGCCAAAAAGGAGGCCGAGGCAAGCCGGAAGAAGCACGAACTGGTAAGGGGCCCAGCGCAGAGGCCCAGCTTCCTTCCCGAGGGCCCACCGGGCCGGCCTTCCAGCACAGCTTCCCTTGCCCTCCCTCCCCTCCCCTCCCCTCCCCTCCCTGCCCTGGCCCGGAGGTCTGCTTCAGCTCTGCTTCCAAGCCAGGACTCCGGCGAATCCGTCCGGGGAAGCCCGGTGCGAAATAGGCTGGTATGGGGTCCTTGGGGCTCTCTGAGCTGGGTGGTTTCCTTGCAGACGTTTCATGACCCAACTAGG